ATGAATAAATATTGGTTTTTTTCAATCACGTTATAAAATTATACTTATAACTTATAACATAACTGTCCAGATGTTAAAATAATGTTTTATTGAATGAATATTATAATTTATAACACACTTAAGACATTTAAATAGTAGGTATGAATTGATTTCCAACTTTTCAATACATCATATTTAAAAAAAATACCTACCTACTTATTACAGTATATGATCATTAATAAAAAAATTAACATTGATTAGGTATGGACAATAATTTTGCTATAATGATTAATAAATTTAAAAATTCAAATCTTACCATTAAACTTGAGAAGTACTATCAACTTACCTATACATTATATATTCCAATTCAAAATGTATGTGAAATGTTGGTTTTGATAATAATAGTAGAAAAATTTGAATATTTGGTAGGTATATCCCGATATCAAATTAATTCAAACGTTTATGGTACAAAATATTAGTATACTAACTTTTTATAATATGCACTATTTTTATTTTACCTTGAAAATATTATCTGGGTAATTTTTAGTAGCATTTGGTTAGGTTATACACGTTAATATATTATAAAACACAAATATCAACTCTTAAAAAAAAACCACATCAGTTAGCTTAGTTAGGTGCATATAAGCAATTTTAAAAGTTAATATTTTATACAACTTATAATAGATTAATATAGTTGTATTAATATTAATGCCTTTCAATTTTTTTTTTTTTTTGGATAGTTGTCGAAAAACTAATAATTTAACTGTAAAATAAATGATTGAAATATTTTTATTTGCAGCTTCAGCTTCAAGTCAAATCAAAATTCCTAAATTGCCATCACCCATGCCAAACCAATCAACCAATTGGGACCAAGTCGCTGAAAATTATTTGTGTCGAGACAGTTAAGTTACGAGATATTTTTAACCAAATTTTAAGACGGTACATCATATTATGTATTGTCTATGAGTAACGAGTATATTATATTGTTGATGATAACATGCAATTATAGATATATTATTACAAATATAAAAGAAATATTTTATGAATATGCAAATTATTATTCATTACTCGACTGGTGAAGATAATGTACATGTATAGGATATGAAATCATAATTTAAAAGTGTTTACAGAAAAATAAGTCATGGTAGTTTCTTAGTCCATATCGTGTAATATATATTTAGTATTCATAGATTATACGCAAAATTACAAACAAAATTAACTATCGTCTCTAAATAACAAAATGTAAATCGTTGTACGTTAGGTATTACTTATTATTAATATCATTAAAAATTCATTTTATGTTTCAACATAAATTCTAATAATTATTAATTTACAAGTTATTGATGTCGAAATTAAAATGTAATATTCTCATTAATTTTGGTAAAATGGATGTACATTAATTATTTGGCAAAAACTGTCAGCAAAACATTTACTAGATGGATAAATCATTAGTTGGCACGAAAGCGTTTAGGCTGCAACAATTGATAACTACAACTGATGACTACATTAAGATGGCCTAAAGGAGACTTTGTCTACATATTATTTAAGAAACTTAAATTAGTAAGAGGATAATCTATAATACCTAGGTAGAGGTACTTAATATGCACATTGATAAAAATAAAAATAGTAAAATATACGATAGTTAAAATGTTTGCAAGTAGCAGTTGGCCCATTAAGTAAAAGTGACTAGGTACTGATTAATGATTACCTATAAATTAAAATATAATTTTTTATTTCACTTTAGGAGAGTTATTTTTGAGGACTGTGTCAGCTTTATGATGTTATATTATTAACTTATTAACTTGCATTATACTTGTTATTTTTTTAGAGTAAATATTAATAAAATTGAAAAATATACTGACACCCCTACTAAACCATAAAATCAAAAAACAGGCAGAGAAACAAAATACAATAAATAATAGTTCAGAGTATAATTAGTCAATTTTTAAGTTTGTATTATAGATTTTCAATTATCTTTTTAAATTAAATATTATTATACCAATTTCAATATAATGCATATTATGAATTGGTCAAATGTTCAATAGGTATATACTGAATAAAATATATAATACAACATGAATAATATTATATTTCTAAAATATTAATATTTCGGAAAAAAAAAATATCAAATAATAATACCAAGGAAAGTCTAATGTTTTAGAAAAATATATTTATTATATTAGAAATATTTGATTGACTGCCAAAAAGTGATCTCCAAATATTTTTAAAATATTTTAAAACAAGATACCTAATTATAAAATTTAAATATTTATTATACAATATTTCGTAAATACTTAAAAAATATTATTATGCTGAGTTGGTAGGTATATTATGTTGTATGTTGGTACCATTAATAAATAATAATATTAGAATAAATATCTAAAAATTCTTTCAATGTGTTCGAATATCATTATATAGTTTCGCTGATAATTTTCTAATTTATTGTTATCAAGCAATTATCGAAAGTAACAAATCAATGACCTCATAATTTAATTAATTATACGTGTACGAATGTAACCATGTAAAACATATGTTTCATTTAACACTGTACTACTGTAGTATGGACTATGATTATATTTGTTCATCGTTACAGATAATATTAGAAATTGAAACGTGTATATAACGAATAGTGATGTTATATAGCTTATAAGTTTTAAACATTAAAAACATTTGATTAACTATACAATTCATTGAAGCGTTTTTATGAGTTCATAAATTAAATAGGATATTTTTAAAATTATTTTAAATATTTATTGTTTAGTTAGATAAAGCGATGAATTATTGCTTGAAATTTATTTTATATACTAATATGAAAAAATATTTATACTAGACCTAACCGTAAAGATGATAGTCCGTATTTTTTTATAGTACATATGCGAAAAAAATTGAAGACATTTCATAGTAATCTCTTAGTTTGAACATTATTTCGGTTAATCATAATATTAATTAATTTTTCACGAATACATCGCACTGTTGAGCTGCTAAACACAATATTAATAATATATTTAACAGCTCAACTAGCACAAAAATACCATCAATAAAATATTATATGTATCATATTACTTTTCGTATCCGTGCAGCACACCAAACCGTATGGTTGTTAAATGATAAATGGTCGAACGTGAAAAAACAAAACGGACAAAAATAAATCTACGTTTTCGAGTGAAGTCACTCGCACAGCAGTAATAAACATCACTGCAGAGCGAAACGAATGCAAGATTAATAGCGAGCAGACGAACAAACACGCTGATAGTGGGGTAGGAAGGATAGTCCATGCGGCGGATGGAACAGTTTTATTTATTTAGGCGCAGACCCCTACAGTAGTATGTCTGAGACGTACCTATTAAAATAATACCAGCGATGACCCAAACCACCCTCCCCCGGTGGTTATGACGATCGGCTAGGTGTCATATTTAAAATTTTCATTTCGATAACGACTATTCGCGCTGCAGCTGGTGTCCGCACGCGGAGCCGCCCGGAGATAAATAATATAGCATGTATAATAGCTTTACGACGACGATGATAGTAATAAATGACATCTCACACCGTACAAAACGTAATATTTTGTAGGGACGAGTGGAGGGTAGTGGGCACGGGGTGGCGTGTGTAGACCCACTCGCCGCAACATTCGCTTATTGTCGAGAAGTAGCCCACCCTCAGCCGACGGGATTGTTATTGTGTTGACCGACAGCTCGTTGAATTGCCATACACTGTGCGGTTATATTATCTGCACTGATGCCTCGTTGAGATCTTCTGCGAGCCGATTACATTTTTGTTTATCCGATTTACATTATTCTCGGACGTTTATACGTTCACGCGGTAGGCATATATTAATTTTGAGCGCGCAATCAAATCTGCGCAACAGCTACCATTACATTATTTATACAAGGTGATTTTTTAAGCCTGCTCATCCTTATATTTGTTTGTTCAAGTTATGCATATATTAAAATTCAGTTTTTTTGGAATTTTTAAATACATGCTTAAAGACCATTTTTCGAATCATTGAAATTGTTTGCACCTGCACTTAAGGATGGTCCTGTGACAATACGAACTTCAGTTTTTCAAATAGGAACCTCCTTTTTTTCATCTAAATCAAAATTCAAGCTATTAGCTTTTGAGTTATGCAACTTTGTGTTGTAAGGATAGTATGTACAATGGACTAAGTGGACAAGGGGCTTAGGCGATTTGTATACTTGTAAATGACTATATATAATTTATATATAATCACAGATTTCTATACCGTCGATAGGTACCTACTACTTACCAGAGATTTGAGACTTTTAACGAACACAAAATAATTTAAACCCGTCCGCCATAAGACTATTGGATAGGGAAAATGTCTTTGAGTATTAAAATTGCTAAATTTTAGGTAATATATAGGTATACCGAAATACTAAGACATTATTTACAAATCTGTTTCAATTGGCCAACATGAGAAAATGGGGAAACATATTTTAGTAAGTATCTACATAAAAAAGTATTCATTTTTTTTAAATATCACTGGCTATATAATTATTATGTTTAATAATTAATATTTTATGGTTCTTTTATCTTTTCTTTACGGGTCAACCTGCACCTGATGCATTTATGCGTTTATGCTTATGCCATATTAGTACAACAACGGCAGATCACCACAAAAAGGTATTTCCACAATAATAATATGAACTTAATAAATACAATTTTTTATGATAGAGGAGCTAAATAAAAAAATCATTTTCATTAAAATTGTTTTGTTTTATTATATGTGTTGGGCATGGTATATAATGATAATATTATATATTGGGGTGTTAGATAAATAATAAATACATTTTATTTTTAGCCCATAGGTATTGGTATGATGCACGGTCAACAATAACTGCACAATCAACAAAGACTCTACCTAGTTTAAATGAGAATGATAACGGCATCGTTAATAACTCATTTAATGACTATACGGTCGTAATTGTTTTGTTTATAATATGTTAATATAGCCATACGGCTGCACAGTTTAAGCATTCGTATTACAATAATTCAGACACTGTACTCGCATGTATTAAATATTTAAATATCGTAACTTCTAATCTAATTAGCTAGTATACAACTATCGGTAATGTACTTAGCGGTTTCCTATGATTGATGGTTTTTGTACCTAATTTCAAAAAACGAATTCCTTAAGGTGTTTTTTATTCATTTTTATCCGGTGTAGTGTACCCTTTTTACCACGTTTCCCATTGGTACGTTCACATTTGAACCACGACATTCTTTTGTAGGGGGCCCTTCGGTTTACGGTTAACACACACATGTGGACAAAAATAAACTCGTCTAGTCGTCTACTGCAGGGTTGGCGTCTATTTAAAACGAACAAAATCCTCCTCTAACCATGTTCTATTGGTAGACAATTTTTGAGAATCCACCGGGACTCCACCCATCGCATTAAATCGGAAACATCTTATTTTTAGTAGCTTAGAGCCTCTTTTGGATCCTGAGTGTGTTTAATTTTGCTGTCGGATGCCGAGCGGAAAATTCATTGTAAGTGTATTTAATTGTACAAAACTGCAATATATTTTCTATTTACATAGCTTTTAACTAACTTTTTAAAAAAATGGCTTAGTTTAAGTTTTGAAAATAAAATATATTACTATTTATTTCATATAAAATATAATAGGTAGGACGGTAGGTATTATTATTGTTATAAAATTGTTTTTTTATTAAGTTACAAAGTGTTTATAGGTGTGTTTCAATTTGTGAGTATTTTAGTATTTTACCCTTAAATAATTGTAAATTGATTAAAATTAAAAATTGACTACAAACATTATTTTATTGGTAGGTACTGCAGGTAGAAGTTGTGTTCGTAAATATATTTCAAGTGGTTGTTTAGTAAGGAAAATACTTATAATATTAAATAATTACATAATTTCCTTATTGTAATAGATGCATACATAATTATTTATTTATATGCATGAAACAACTTTTTTATGTTTATGATGATACAATGACGTGTAGTATTATATTTATTCATCGAAAAATTAAAATTGTACGGTACACAAGTATGTAAAATATTAGGTACCGTCTTGGTACCTTTACTAATTTAGTATATGTAGGTACTATTGAATACCATAAGATCTATGTATTTTGTATTAGATTAATATTTGTTATAAACATCTTTTCTCCAAAGGAATGACCATGAAACGTAAGATACCTACTTATGATTTTTTACACGAATACAATCACGCATTAAATATAATATTTTATATTACGATGTTATATTTATTATAGCAAGACATCATAGTAATACAATTCATCTCATAACATACAAAATTATTTTTCCTAACATTTTTCAGCGTATAATAGTAACATCACTTGCACAAAATATATCACACTTTAGATGATTTTATATCTGAACATTAAGATGACTATAATTAAATTGTAAAATATATATTAATGATCAGACTGATTTAAATTTGATAAATAATATTATAAATATTTTTATAGACACGTTTGTACCGAAAATATTTTTGTGAAACAAAAGAAAACAACCGAGTAGGATTATCTACTAATTATATAATATATAAGTAGTAAGTATAGTAATTATATATTAATTAATAATTATTATTGAATTCAGCTTAATTAGGTAGGAGTCACCTATCTAGTTAGAATCATTTCATTATTAATACTATTTTATAAGGACTATGTAGGTAGTAGGCACAATAAATAAGATAAGTTATTTTTTTGTTGTGAGAATTATTTTAAATTGTAAACGTGATTAGAATTAGATTAAAGTAATTACATTGGTACTAGAATTTAAAATATAAATTTCTATACTTGCCAACCACTGGATGAACTCACCTTCCTAATATTTGGTCATTGTTCACTGTATTGTGCCAAGTGCCTACCTATATATTAAAAAAAATTTTTTTAAAATCTTTTGCAAATCTTATATTTGCTTGTTGAGGTGCAGAATCGATCACAGATTGTTAATGTTTTTTTAATAAATTAAACATCAACAATTTAAATAAAATACACTTATTTATAATTATTTCTAAGTTTTACATGGATACAATTCTAAAATTAATTAATATATTTAGAACTTCAAAATTGTATGATAAAAAGTTAAAAGTTGCATGAAAACCAAACAAAAACAACGGTTGTATTGTTTGGTAATTTTCGTTCAGTAGGCTAAGTTTTTTAGGTTAAAACCAATAGCTTCCTACATCAGCTTTTAGTTTGAATACTACCGAACAGTGAAATTAATTTGTTGGTTGTTTAATGCAAAACTTGATTTTCAAACATAATAAAATTGTAGACATTATGTATACAGCACCTATACGTAAATATATTCATTGTTAGCTTATAATGTTTACGTTAGTGATTTTATTATGTTACGTCAGCATAAATAACAATAAAAATAATATTTACTGTACCATGATACTAGAATAATATCACATGATAATATATTTTATACACTTAATGACTTACGCGGTAATACTTCCATGAACCGCATGCTCACATGTAGTTATAACTTATATAGATGTATGACTTAGAGTTCATATTAAATATGATGTGTGTTCATTTTAGCTTTCCCGTTCATTTCTAAGACGACCAGATTAATACTAATAATGAAAAAAATCGTGAAAGGATTGACCCTGTATATAATATAGGTACATACATTATGTTGACTTTTAACGATATGATTATTAAACAAAATAATGTGATAAGCTATACTTAATACTTATAATATATTGCAATAACGAATTTCTTTTAAAAAAAAAAAACCAATCTGTACAACCGAATCGAAATATTATTCAACTATTTAATTATTATCATGCTAAATCATGCTAAAACAAATGTGTATAGATTCTTATATCCTGTTAACTGTTGATATGAAGGTCAGATTAGTACATTTCAATGATTTTTAAAATAAAATGTATATAATATATATATCTATGTACGTGTAGTACCTATTGGTACGTACGTTTTGTTTTGTTATAATGTTTTATAGAATTATTTTGCATAACTTATAGTTAAACAATTTTTTTTGGCGTACGTTCAAGTCTCAAGTGTCTTAAAATATAATAAAAGGTATCGAAATTATTACGTACCTACATGCATGAGTATAGTTTAAAATAATATTAACCAAACCTTAATATTATCTAATAAATAATAACGACGGACCTTTTATTCTAACAAATACCTACCCACCCATAACGCATCAAAGCTTAAAAAATAATTATGCAAAACCGCTTTCAGACAATCAGATCACGACAGTTTTCCTTAAATTGTATTACATAGATCAGATGATATTTCAATAGTAAATTTTGATGGAACGAGATAACGGGATTTTAGACTTTTGTGCGAGTGATAACTATTATGTAACAAATAATATTATGTAATAGTTACAGTGGAATACTCACAATATAGCTTACATCGAAGTAATAAACCGTACAAATTTAGTCTGTAGGAATAAAATAACTACCGTGCAGTTTATTTTCCATTTTATTGGAGTTCGATATAAACAGTGGGTGTAATCATTGATTTATACGCATTTGAACAGATTGCTATGGTAGTTAATATCTAATTATTTCGAATTAATATTAATGCGAACAAAAGTAAATTTGTTCAAAAACGAATTTCTCTGGGTAATATTGTGTCAATAGGAGTTCTTTTTAACATTTATTAATACGATTTAATTAATTTATAAAGAATTATTTTATCCGAGAAATATTTATCTTCTGTTCATTTACCGGTCAGACAACTTTCACATAGGAGAAAAGTACCTACACAAGGAAAGGGAACAAATATTTTATCGACAAATAGTTCTGAAAACACATTACTATCATACGAACGAAGTTACACTAAAAAGTAATAACGCGACTGAACATTTTTCAAAACGTTTCAGTGGCAGTGGAAACGTTATTATTTTAACGGGACACAATCGGTAAAAATGATTTTGTTTGTACCCCGTTTGGTGACTTTTCGTGTATTCTATCGAATTCTATCTTAAACAGTTTAACACAAAATCTATAATCTATATAATTATAGATGTACTGCCTGTACAATACGTGTAGACAACACGTCAGTATCGGTTAGACAATATTATAAAATATAATGAATTGCTTTTTAACTTCTAAAAAAATTGACCATCGCTCAACGGTGATGCTCGTTTCCTATAGTAGGAAATGTGCGTTTCTGCAGTAGAGATCGATAAAATCGACTTCTACAGAACCATTTTTTCGAGACGTATACGGTATACCCACACGTCTAGATGTACGTAATATACAATACCGATACAATCAATCGATTACGAGCATGCGTCTATAAACTGCACGATATGGAGCTCTACTTGCAGTTCGAAAAGCAGCAGCAGAGTATTTCGCATTCTGCAGACGTCGAACACATATGGTTTAGCGAACTGTCGTCGCAGAAAATGCGCAAGTCCCGCAATAGTGATAAACGTGTCGCTCGTGAAGCTCAAAATGAATATAGGCGTATTATTTCGCGTTCTTTCTCATATTATTATTACTATTACGTAACCGGGTGGTCGGAAAACTAGTTTTGCATATTATTATTATCGTCGTCGTCGTCGTCATTTATTAAAATATGTATCGCACCACGCGCGTGTTTATACTCTTATAGAATATAATATAATATTACGGTGTGCTTGCGCCAAACACGGCGTACGATCGTCGACGACGCGGTGCACGTTTCTACGCTCCAGCGATATAATATTTTATCGGTACCCATCGAGATTTATACGTATCTATGTGTGTGCGCGGGCAATACAGTACACCTCAATAATAATAATAATATTATACCTTGCACCGCTGCAGGTGTTACGGTTGTATATTGATATAATGTGGCGCAAATGTGGCGTGTCACACAGTGTATCGCAGTGAAATTATATTGTTTACGAGCAGTGACTTCGCAGTGGACGTGTGAAACGAGCCAGTGTGTGTGCGAACGGATGTCGAAAGAAGAAAGGGCTCGCAAGGTTTACCGCGAACAAAATGGCCTTAAAGAGAGCAGTGGAATACATATTATTCTATTTTGCACACGTGTTACGCGATCGCGAGCAGCGTTGTGGCGGTGAAAATGCCATTTTTCTTTATCGTCTGCGACGAGCAATAATGGTCGCCATCGCAGTCAATCGCGCCTTTATATTATTATTATTATTATTATTATTATTACTATTATTAGGTATCATACCCACCTGATATAACATTTTTTTTTTTTTTTTCATTATTCTCAGTCCTATTGCCGTTGTCGTTTTGTTTGTTATTGTCATTGCGGGTAATCATAACGACAAACAATATCTGGATACGTTCCACTTCCTCTTGCATCGCGTTCGTGAGGTTAGGCCGAGAGTCCATCTCCGTGTAATATGATATAATCGTATTAGACCGACACACAATATTATACGGGAGATGCGTAATGGTATAGGGTGAACATTATAGAGGTTCACTTAAAAAATTGCAGGTTTTGCATCACCGCTCATTTTTTCCACACACTCACACTATTCCACTCATTTTGTACAACCCCATAGAACTCTATTGATCCGACTGGTGGGTATATGATGGTAAAGCGTTTTTTTTTTTAATTAAGAATTTTATTATACCAGCAGTAGACGTGTGGTAGGCGATACATTTAATTCGTATGATTAACATTAATATTAATATATAATAATATTTATACTATAGTTGTATCGGTTTTTCTTGCAAAATTTGATTTTACAAATCAACAGCAAATGTATTTTGCAATTATAAATTAATCATATTTTTATAAGTATTTATTTAAAACCTGCAAATATATCCACTTGCTCCGGCTTTTCTCATGTTGCATTTTTATAACAATCATTCTCGAATTCACATCGAAACTCGTATCGTGCGTCGGATTTCACGAAAATCGATTGCCCTCAATTTTCTTCTGTACCATCATTATACACACTGGTCTGCAATTCAACAGTCATGGTCGTAGGCCATACAACATAATATTATGCCACCTTGCCAACTGCGTCATTAGTCTCCATGGAATAAAACTACTATATTAAAATATGCGTTTAAGTCCAATCCTGCGTTGAAATATATTACACATGGTTGAGCGTGTGAAGTGCATGAAAATACCGCTTAAACGAAATATGCGCAATCCCATACGAAAGACGATATTATTGAAATTTGCAATACCTATAATAGGTAGGTAGGTACACCTAAAAATATTTCTTATAATAAATCATATTTTAAACTGGTTCCCAATAGTAAGTTGTGTATTAACCACTGTAACGAGTGAACACTGGCCAGTTGTCCTAGGTTTTTTTTCATAAAAAATATTTGTAATAAATTAATATATTATACCTGAAGAATACAGTAAATATTATTTAGATGTAAAAACAGGGTAAAATAAAATAATATGTATACAAGAATGAAATAAAACATAAATGGATTACAGTATTATAGCTATTAATAAATAGTAATTAAATAATACAATTAACCGTTTATACCCCACTGTTTATTCCTTTCAAAATTATTTTACGAACGAGAACGATTATTTTGAATGATTTGTTTTTAGAAGAATAGAATCGGACAAAAGATTATTGTTTGTGCATTCAAAACACTTAATTTGCGTTGTTTGTTTTCAACTACAATAATTTTATTATTTTTGCGTTTTGCCTGAATGTTTAGAAACGGGATCGAACGATTTATAGCTGTATAGATTAAGTTCCATATCATTTTTTAATAACTCCAAATTAATTAATGGGACGTGTTTTGCCTAGTCTTATACTCAATCATGATCTTTTTAGTATTATTTGTATTTATTCAGATACTCGTTTAATGTCAGTGCTTTGCTTTAGATATAATGCTTCATGTTATGTGATTATTAACGTTTCGGTAAATATTGTGATTACTTATGACAATTTTACAAAGTATTTAAAATTAATTATGGAGAGATAAAGTGATATTCAAATGAAGTAGAGTTTAAATTATACATCGCGTGGTCATTAAAATGTATCTATATGTATAATGTGTTATATTATGTTAAAGGATTAACAATGAATACAGAGATATAATCTTTTACTTGTTAAGCATATTTTAGGCTTTCAATTCGTCGTTGTTGTTGTTGTTTTTGTTGTTGTTTTTATTATATCTAGACGTTTTATTTAGGGGAGGTTTTTATTTACAGTTTTGAGAATAATAAATAGTCCAGATGCTTCTGCCTCATTACCAATATTGTTCATTATATCAGAAATGTTTCCTGTTTACAAATGTATTACTACGTACATAATTGCGTTAGTAGTTTCACATAAATTATTATTTATGCAATAATTAAAATATTAAAATTTAAGAATATTTACCATCTAAATAATATGGTATATGAGGTATGTATTTAAGTATAATTCATGACATTATGTCTCTACCTTTTTTTGCTTAAATTATTTATTTGACTATTTTAAGACTATTATTAAGACAACTTTAATGTTTCATTCATTTGTATTGTATCAAAAGATTTTATAGAATCTATTTTGATTAATAGAAAACGGGTGGGTTTCTACTTCTTGAAAATAATAATTATTTCATTTTTGGGCATATAATGTCTATTATACCATGTTATGTCTATCGTCGTAGATGATATTATATGACTATAGCGAGTTGACAGTATAGCGAGTTCAGAGCATCAACGTTTTAATTTATATAAACATTGTACAGTATTTTAATAACTTAATTAAATGCGTACATACGCTATGTGACTCTTATAAAAGTGTAATAGAAAATGAGAAACATTATTAAGCTATAAATTACTAATATGCACGCTATTTAATGACTCCGTATAACGTGGTTGAAATTTAAAAATATAAAAATAAGTATAATACAAAAATGTTGTTTTTTCAATTTTCATTTTTATTTAAGACTTAAGTGCGTATTATAAAACAAATATACGTTCTACGTTTGTAACTCGTATAAAAAAAAAACACTGGTTTATGTAGCCGTCTGTGTGATTAGCATAGTTTGGGACGGTGTAATAACTAATAATTTTATTTTATTTTATTTTATAATACAACTCGGGATTTTTTCAATTTACAATAATACATTTAGTACGATAAATAGATTATAAGGAAAAATTAAAAATTATTTAGTGAGAAGGAGGGATCTAAATTAGCTAAGTACATACAGCGACGTAGTGGTTCATTTTTACCATAGTTAGTTGAGGAGGTGGCGAGTGACAAAGGAACAAGATGGTGAGATGTTCGGACTGGAACATTAATAGACACTTGAGATAGGAAGTACGGGGAGTCAATTTTCCCCTGCAATAGTTTGGCTAAAAAGGTGAGATTTGCTGCTTGCCTACGATTTACTAAAGTGTCTAATTTAAGAAATTTTAGGACCAGCGTATAGTCATGGTTGGAACAATCAATATCTAATAATAAGTCTATACATAGAGGCGAATTTTACTGTCACTCTTAATGAAAGTATAAACTCTGCGTAGGTAGGAGGGCAGATTGGTGTGAGTACCTACCTATACACTTGTGTGTTTGCGATGTGTATTTTATAAGTCAGTGGCGAAAATGCGTGTGTGGTTCAATGTAATATATTTAACATTTATTTGTTGCTCGACCACTCCATAAAGTTTTTGGAAAAATGTAATACATTTAATGGTAAACATAGATTAAAAAAAGATGAAGAAAATAGATGTTGGATTGTATTTTCTAATAAAATATGGGGAGGGGAGCCTTGTTTTTTTAAAAATAATGTTGATTATACATTTTAAATTGAATTGAAATATAAAATGTATACAATGAACACAAATATAACACCATGGTATACAAACAATATTGGTGATGGCTATGATAATAGTGTGTCGAGCCACTCTTTGCACACCCTCCCCCCCCCCCCCCCAAAAAAAAAATCACATCACTCGTACAAGTGTTGCACGGCAATAGTGTACCCGATAGTGTATTGTTGTTGCAGATGTGACATGGGCAGACGCAGACCGGACTGGTGGTTGGAACAGCAACATCAACAGCAGCAACGGGACTTGCTGGAGGACGGTTGTCCGAGGAACGCTGCCAACGCTAGGGAGAGGGCTCGGATGCGCGTGCTGAGCAAGGCGTTTGGCCGACTCAAGACGACACTGCCGTGGGTGCCGGCCGACACCAAACTGTCCAAGTTGGACACGCTAAGGTTGGCCACCACCTACATAGCACACCTGAGCTCGTTGCTGACGACTACCGATCGGTCGGAAGCCGCGGACCAGGGAGAGACCGCGACCCAGGTCGCGGTCACGTCCGCGCAACCACTAAACTACGCCATGGTAAATATCACGCTTATAATATGCTACATAATATCCGAGTATCCGGTATGTATACGTCATAGGTGTAGGTATAGACTATTAAATGTGGCCACAGGGAGATTATTATCCCCAAATATGCGTATAATGTGTGTTATCCCTATATCAGTCAGCTTTAAATTAATGTTCGGTCTTGCCCTAACCCACTAATCACCACTAAAAAAAAAAGGTTCGTATTCGAAAATTACAAAGTATACAACCGTTATATACTTATGCATTCTTGAAATATTGAGTAACGACAATAATAATATAGTGGTAAATAACACGTAGTATAGATACACCGATATTTAGGTATTCCTCTGGCGTATTGTTATTTGTGAAAACGGTCGATACTGCATAATAAGCTGCGAAAACAACAATATTAATGACTAATACTAGTTAGTGATTATGTTCTCGTAAAATTTAAGAGTGTATAATAGATATTTTTTCCAAAATACGTCAAATCATTTATTACCTACCTATAGGTTTAATCTAAATACGTGTTGATACTTAATTATGCACACAATTTAATAATCAAACCGAAATAGAAAGGTGGTGACTAAAACATGATACCATTTCTAAACACAATAAATTATTTATGTACAATGTATTACATGATAAAATAACAGTGCCGCAGGCCAAATTAACCTCGAGCTCGTTGGTTACGCTAACTTTTAGTTGAATATTAAGCTTTTGTTAGTCGCTATTATAGTTTAATATTGCAATAGGAAAATGCGTACTAAACTTGCACATTCGATATTTCTGTTTTACCAATATCAGTATTAGATTACGGAATCCACTTATTTTACGTGTATGCGAATCCTGGCTTGGTAGTCGACCGCATTCAACCAAAAATAATTGTACTTATGTGTCAAACTACGTCTCGAAATATTAATAGTAAATAAATAAATGGACAAAATAATAATTATTATCCAGTAGATACAGAGTAACTTTACCCTGGCTCGTTCGTAGGCATTTTAAGTTCAGAAATGTCTATACCATTTTAATAGCCATTATTGGAATTCGGTCAGTCACGAGTATTAACATGATCAGCATACGTTATGTAGTTTCGGATGATACAATAATTGTCATTATGCGACATACAACTGCCGTGCACTAGATGTCGAAAATATAGAGTTTTCCTAATTTATTTGGGACCCGAACGAGTGGACAAGGGTGTATCAATATTATTATTGGCATAGGTTATATTGCGTTTGAAAGCGGATGAGGACAATGCAATATTGCCTGTTATATAATAACTGCAAATGTTTGCGGCGCTTAATTGAAATTCCATTTCGGTATAATAATTGATGGTGCGAAACCGATGAAACATCTCTTCGCAAACCTCGAATGAGGGTCGTCGTCCGGACGAGGATCGAGTTTGTTCGAATGGTCGATTGTGCCGACGGTGTTTGCGTGATAATTATTGTATATAACTCGTCAGTTACCGTGTGTATACCTATGGCGTGTACGTATTTAAACACAATCAGCTCGAGTAACATCCCCTGCGGATTGCGGCCCATTTATTGGGTCCGGGATCACATCCAGTCCGATTTTGGCGACATTGCTGATTTTGATTTCTTATTAGAGAATAAGGCAGCTATTTATAATTCGATTTAATGTACTATGTGTTATAGTAGATTCGTTTATGAATTAAGACGTATTTAATAACATAATATACACATAGGTTAATCGCATGTCCCTAATTAAATTAACATATAGGCCTTTAAATCATCATGTTTAAAATATTCAGCTTAAATCTTTAAAATTTAACGTATTTTGAAAAAGCCAATAACTTTAGCAGTTAAGACGCGTATATTGTATAAATTAAAAAATAACTTATTAAAAAAAATAACTCCCGGTGAAATGCCTTTGTAATTGACGGTAGATACCTATATAATATACTCGTAATATTATACATGATGGCCCCGGACTCAGATGATTTTTTTAGATCACCAATAAATAATAATGATAAAACGCTCAATTGTACTTAATATGATATTATATCCAATTATCCACGTCATATCGTACATACACGCAATCAGAAACGAGACATGAATGTGTACGAGAATTCACCGCAGAGAAAAAAGCTCTGACCATTCAAAATTGTATTCAAGTATTATACAGGAACGGATATAATTGCAAAGTTGTTATGATTTGAATATCGCGATGAGTGAGACATTCAAAAATGTATTACAATTTTCATATAAAGTTTCTCGAGGGTTCGGATTGGGTGCCCCTCCCCCCCCCCCAATTTGAAATCTCTCTCTATGAATTATCTGCACCTCTACTTATCGTTTTCCGCAGCCGGTCGATTTTAATACAACGTACAATCTATCATAGGACGACATAATATTATATTGTCTGTATGTTGCGGGACGTTAGACGATTCGTCGAGTTAACTCATTTTTCGTTTGTAGAATCACACAATAAAGACCACGAAATGGGCAATCGGCGGCTTGTCCGTGCGATCACTATTTATTATTGTCATGCTCTGACCGAAATATTGTCATCATGTGATATTATGCTCTTTTTATTTTTGTCGAACAACAACACACGTATATCGATAATAATATCTATATGGCGGCTGCAATTTTTGCGGTCGCCGTTTGTCCCACATAATATTAGTGTATTATAGTCGTCCATATAGGTACACCGAGTACATAGTAGGTACTCGCGTACATATCGGTTATGTACTTAATATAATATGTTCTTGGTAGGGTAAATAGAGTTAATAATTATAAATGTATGTCTTGTACGGTGCATTAACTACGCGGCATTGCATTTAAAAACAGTCCATGTACAAAATTAATAAATATAGCATGCCTCTGTCGTACAGAATCGGTGGTGATAAATTGTTCTGCGGGACTATTGAATTTTTAAATCTTATACGACCATGTCCTCTAGGGCGTAGTTATTCAAGTTCTTTCCGTTGAAATAATGCGATTTCGCTCAACCTCGCAATATATAAAACAGTATAATAATGACTTAACTTAACACAATTTAATCGAGGGTTCGACAAATCTTCGTCGCGTGAAGAAAATTGGCAGGTCCGTTACTGATTCCTGCAAAAGGGAAAATGATAGTAACTCGCTTATTACCTGACGTATAATTGCAATGCGACGAACTTGATTAGTTTTAGTCAAAATATCGCTTGAGGTGGTCCGTTTCTCTGTGATTGCCGATCGGTATTGGTTATTTTTGTTTTAATAGATTTGAATACTTCAGACATTATTTTAATAATTAAAATGTTCGTTATATTATATTAATCGTACCATATATATACCTATCAAATCGAATTAATAATCCTACTCATTTAAATTAATTTAATTCAGTTTGCTCATTATGTTATATTACATCATATTTCGAGTAAATTAGCAAACTTCATTTATTTGTTTTTCGTTGACTGTAGTATGAATAATAAATCTTTATGCCGATGATTTATGTTTATCAATCAATAACGTACAATAACTATAATTGTTTAATAATCTATCAGATAAAAACAATATAAAAATTAGTTTTTTTTAAGCTTAGATACTTCATCATGTTATAATTTTTAGTCATTTTAGTTAAAGTACTCTTCTTACACACTAGATTAAATACACATATTTTAATATCTACGTTTTTACGATCAATATTAGATATTTCTATTTTGTTATTTAAATCATATTTCATATTTATTTAACACAGGTTGTTATCATATCGAATTTTAAGAAGGAATATTGAAGTTTGAAACTCAAAGGATAGTCTGAATAATGAACCAAAGCAATGTTCAAACGACAAAATAAATATTTAATATACCTATTGTATATTATATAATAATATATAACTACATAAGCATAGTAAAATCGTTCACAAGGTTAGTTTAGAACTATTTCAACCATAAGTTGGTAGGTACTTCGAATTACAGTCTATACAGATTAAGTGCTTATTATACTAATTAATTTGATATTAAATTCAGATAAACTATAGTTTTATCAACAGTTTATTTTGTATTTACTAATTATTAAATCATACAAAAACCAACCAGTTACAAGTTACATCTATAAATAATTTATTTCGATTAATATCAGTCTGAATGAAATTTTTTTCTTAAAAATAACTGTTGGTAACACATAATATATGAAAAATCGAAAAGCAATCTATAGAATTAAATTGTTTGATACATTTAATGTTTCGAAAATAATATTTCAATAAAAATAATTATTTCGTTGACTCAATTACAGTTATTTAATTCGGTCTACAGAACATTTAAACTATTACACAATAATATTATCGAGTCAAGACGATTTAACTAGTTATTGTATATTTCATAAAGATCCATTATTTTTTCAATTAATTATTATTTGCACGTTTTTATTACATTTATTTAGTTTTTAAATTGCATTTTAAATTACACATGATTTTTTCATACTTTTATCTTGGTCATTTGCTTTTTGAGAGAAAAGAAAGTATACGAGTGTACATAGATGTACTCTTGTTTACTTAATCAACTGTAGTAATTGAAACTTGTAAAGTACAAAACACAAAGAATACTTTTTTTTCTTAGTTCAAATATTACTGGACCAAAGTTAGGCGTAATATAAAATCTAATTTAATCAAGAAAATAATTCAAGAACTTAACATCAGAACAAAATTAGAATATATTATCTTATGTTTTGAGTAAATAAATAACGAATATTAAAGGTACGAACACAACGGGAACAATAAATTCACACCGAAATAATATTTGCCAAGGTTCTCTAATTTTTGAAAATAAAACATACTTTTGAGGGTTGTATCGTTTTTCGATTGATAAAATTAAATGTTTATGCCTCTATACTCCTGCGAAATTCAGTGCAAAATGCAGATCCGATGTGTCATTGGGCTAGAGTATTTATTAGTGTATTTTTTTTTTTGAGGGGGATAAGTTAAAAACAAAATGTTTCATTTTCTTCATCCACCAAAATTAGAACCTTTTTGACGGTAATTTCAATACAATTTTC